GGGCCCTACAAAGTTCTTGCGGTGGGTCCCACCTCTGCCGACGCCACTCCGGACGGCCGCCCGTTGGCGCGTGAACTCCTCTAACTGGACCTGCCTTCCGATCTTTCCGGCCCGGCAGCTCGTTGTCGCGTGTCTGTCCTTCGTTGCAAGCCCTGTCGCAATCCGTACGAGACGGACGACTTGCCGCAATCTCTGCCCGCCGAGCTTTCGCGTTATGTTCTGCACTCTTTCGGAGATAAATGTCCACCATTCCACGTCACCGCGGATGATGTGTCGGTGCCTGTCGGGCGCCTCGAGGTCGACGACATTTCGGGATATTGACTGGTGCGGGGCCTTAGCGGCGTTCTCGCTGTCCTGTACCAGACGCATTGGGCAGGCCTGACTACTCCTTCATGGGAACGGGAATCCGACCTTGATTAGTTCCGTCGACACATGCTCTTGTACTGGTCCCGGGAGGCCTGCCAAAGCAAGCAGGGTAACCGTACATATCGAGTGGCTCGGACTCGCGCGGCACAGCGGGAGCTAGCCCGGAATCGTGGAGAACGCCATTTGCCTCCTGGGGCTGATCTTGTGCTTAACGCGACTTGGCTTCGTCGTTTCAACACTTCGCCCCTCCCTGTTGGCGCGCGACTGTGGTACAAGGCCCGTGATGGCTTGTGGTGGACCGGACGTACTGGTGCTCATCAGGGTGGCTCGTACATCGTTCGATTTTTGGATGACCCGGGCCCAAGCGTTCTCCCTCTGGTGCACCGGACGTACTGGTGCTCATCAGGGCGGCTCATACATCGTTCGATTTTTGGATGACCCGGGCCCAAGCGTTCTCCCTCTGGTGCACCGGACGTCCTGGTGCTCATCACGGCGGCTCATACATCGTTCGATTTTTGGATGACCCGGGCCCAAGCGTTCTCCCTCTGGTGCACCGGACGTCCTGGTGCTCATCACGGCGGCTCATACATCGTTCGATTTTTGGATGACCCGGGCCCAAGCGTTCTCCCTCTGGTGCACCGGACGTCCTGGTGCTCATCACGGCGGCTCATACATCGTTCGATTTTTGGATGACCCGGGCCCAAGCGTTCTCCCTCTGCCTGTGCACCTCTTCTCCACCGCCTTGGACGCCGTCTGTGAATCATGGTGTTTAGAGAAACATCGTTCGCGCCCTCTGGGCGGCAACCGTGGTCGCACTCCGCTCCTTGCTGACTCCTTACCGTCGGCTGTTCCTACCATTTCTTCTTAGCGTCGTCGTTTTTATATACCAATCGGCCTATTTTGGTCTTTTGTGCCATCTTTCTCGCCGACGTTTCGCTTCTTATTTTTTTTCAACCACCTCCCATTCTGTTCTATTTTGTGTTGTTTTGTTTTTCTGTCTTGTCTCTTTACTTTCGTTGGCTTATTTTTTGTTTTGGACGCTGGGGCAACGCCGCCTCAAGACACGCAGTGTCGAGTGATCTTTCTTCCTTGTTGCCTGCATTCATCTGAATCAGTGAAATGACGTGACCTGGATGTCCGTTCTCTCTCGCCTTTGCTTAAATTTTGTTGTTGTTGTTGTTGGTCTTTGGTTCTCTCGACAAGCTCCCTCCGAAGTTTCGTCGGTGTTGTCTGCCTCTGAACACTTGGAAAAAGAGTTCCCCAAGTTTCGTCGGTAATGTTTGCCTCGGGACACTTGGACACCGAGTTCCCCGCGTTTTCCTGGTTCGCCTGTTTGCCAACTAATGTCTTAATTCTTTTTGTCTTAGTTCCATCGTGCCGCAGAAGGTTGCATACGCTTGGTGCTTCGGGATTCCATCCCGTGGCGTCGCCCTCTCCCATGGATTTTCGCCGTCACCCACACTTCGTTCTGCTTCATCTCCATCATCGCCACCTTCGGGCGACGCCTTCATCACAGTAGCGCCCCTGAGCCGTCGTCTTGTTGTGTGAATCTCTACGACTTTTCTGTGTTTTTATGACTTCGAATGATGAATATCGCCAGCGAGCCATGGCGCAGTTCATCGACCGCCTCTCGTGCCTTAATCGTTGGTGCTTTGCATCCTTAGTCCTCATTAGGTCTTGCCCCTGCCGTCTCTTTATACGAGTTGGGTACCCTGGCACGCTGGCAATCGTTCTCCGTACCTTTGCCTGTCGTTCTTTTCTCCTGCCCTTCGTTAACATCCTAGATTGCGTTGAGTTTTCCCTTTGCGTCGCGTCCAGTATCAAAGGCCGTATTCGTTCGGAAATTTGTTTGGGTTTTGAGTTTCGTCACCGTTTTTTGGAGTCTCTCGGGTAGTCACCCTCATTCCTCCAGCGGTGATACGCGCGAGTGCGCGTAAAAGAGTGGTGTGTGGCGTCTGGACATTGATTTTTTTTCCCCTGTCGTCGTCTGTTCAGGATGATAGCGTGCTCTGCCGCCATATATATTCTTCGTAGCTTTATCCCTTCAAGCGTTGTCCTTGAGATGTCGATGTTCCGTCTCGTGACCGTTCGCATTCTTCATCTCAATGATGGTGTGGGGGATTGATTCGGGATATTTCTACAACTCACCTTCCTTTTGGATGTTTTGTGAAGAGTCATATCTTCGATTGATGATCATAAATCATCAGCTAAATCCTACTCTAGCCCTAGGATTTGAGCATTGATTTGAGTATAGAATCTGCGTATATGTTATTCAGGGTGGGCTAGNATCTCAATGATGGTGTGGGGGATTGATTCGGGATATTTCTACAACTCACCTTCCTTTTGGATGTTTTGTGAAGAGTCATATCTTCGATTGATGATCATAAATCATCAGCTAAATCCTACTCTAGCCCTAGGATTTGAGCATTGATTTGAGTATAGAATCTGCGTATATGTTATTCAGGGTGGGCTAGTGTTCAGGAGTGTGGCTGCTAGCATGAATAGGGTACATCTTATTGTTGATAGGATGCGGGTCGGTCAGGAGGTATANTATTCAGGGTGGGCTAGTGTTAAGGAGTGTGGCTGCTAGCATGAATAGGGTACATCTTATTCTTGATAGGATGCGGGTCGGTCAGGAGGTATACCCTTCTGACCCCTACCCCCTTGGAATTGTCCACTCTGTGCACCCCCTGAGATGAAGTTGGATCCCCACTTCATCTCAGACCTTTGCTGGTCGTCTCTCAGCAATAACAAGCAACTTTCCCATCTCAACGTGGTCGCGGACAAGCGTGTCAACGACAGAACCTTCATCAACCTCTAGGAGCAAGCTACCGCCCACGGCTTCACTCCTTGAAATTGTGTTAAATGGTCAAGCACCCTCGAGGCAGTTACACAGTGCTTACAACTGTCTCTGGAAGTGAAAGCACCAGAAAATAAATTAAGTCATACGCAGCTGTCATCCGTACGCAAGGAAGTAAGCACAAGATGCCGAACACCCTTAGCAGGATGCAGCGCACCCTTCATGCGACTCGCCGAATATCTCACGGCGCTTCGCGCTTGGTGATGTGAGAGCCTGGTCCGGTGAGAACCCGGCGTGCTCCGTCCCGGCTTTGTAGGGATGCGAGGTCAATGGTCTAACGACTACGGCATGCACGACTATGAGTACACACACACACACCCGGTCTTTGCCATCGGGGTGGTTTTCGTCGCTTGGCAACGACGTTGTAAAAAAAGCCAATTCACTTCGTGAACTCGGCAACCAGGTTACCGATTTTATTTTTTCACCTCCGTTTTGTTTTTGGCGTTAAACCCTAACGGTGGTCGAGTAGGATCATGTTGTGCGGGGTGAACCCTCACTCCGCGCAAGGGGGATGATCGCACCACGTTGTGTTAAAATGGTCAAGCACCCTCGAGGCAGTTTCACAGTGCTTACAACTGTCTCTGGAATGAAAGCATCAAGAAAATAAATTAATTCATACGCAGCTGTCATCCGTACGCAAGGAAGTAAGCACAAGATGCCGAACACCCTTAGCAGGATGCAGCGCACCCTTCATGCGACTCGCCGAATATCTCACGGCGCTTCGCGCTTGGTGATGTGAGAGCCTGGTCCGGTGAGAACCCGGCGTGCTCCATCCCGGGTTTGTTGGGATG